GGGCAGGTACCCCTCAAGGCCAGGGAGTGCGGCTGGGCAAGCCTCCTCCACAGATCACACTTGTGGTCTTGCAGTTGTTTTCTCACTTAAATTTCAGGGAAGAGTGGCATGTCCACCTCCTGCCAGTAGAAGCTGGGAGGATGCTGGATCTCATCTGCCTGCATCATTGCTGTATGCCCAGAACACGGGCAGCAGAGTAACCGCTTAACACACGTGTAGAAAGCAAAATGCTATCCTGTAGAGCTTCCCACGCAAGAAAGTCTCTGGCTGGAGGCAGGGCTCAAGTGGTAGCAAGCTGTGGTCTAGAGTTCAAATCCTAGTACAAACAATAAAAATAGTTTTATAAAGGCCTCCGTGTCTGCCTAAGAGTGAGCATCCACAGCCAAGCAGGCAGAGGTTTCAACACTCAGGCCCCTTGCTCTGCCACTGAGTCCTTGTGCTGTCCAGTCTTCAGTCCTTTGTCCTTTTCCAGGGAATATAAAGGTATAAATCTTCTACTACTAGTCAGAAAAGACCTGCTTTCAAAGAGATAGATTATCAGCTCCTTAATCTTACACTATTGCTCTTCGGCTACTTTTCTACAAGTATTCTACCCAAAAGAGTCCAGCTGGATTTAAAGAACAGGGAAGCATATACAAGTAGAGCCTGAGTTGAACTGTGTATTTTATCTACTCAAGGACCCCACCAAGACACATTAGTGCCAACTCTACTGTTTAACCTGGTAACACTATAAGGGGCCTCTCCTGTCAGCTCTAGTCAGACAAAGCCATCTAAGAGCCAGAGACAACTCCTTAGGGGCTTTCTCCTCCCTTCACTGCTACAAATTCCAACATCAAGCACCAGAATTGTAACTCTCAGAATAGTAATTCCTAAATTAGAAGCTAGTGTTACATTAGGAAAAGTGCTTTGAAATTGTGAAGCACTTAGGGACAGTAGTAAGGTTATTACATAAGAGAATGCAAATAAATTCCATTTGTCTAAGCATTCTTAACCAGGTAGGTGAAACTGACTCCAACAAAAGCATGATCTTCATGCCTGTAATCCTAGCTACTCAGAAGGCTAAGATCTGAGGATCACAGTTCAAAGCCAGCCAGGCAGGAAAGTCTGTGAAACTCTTATGTCCATTAAACACCAGAAGACTGGAAGTAGCGCTGTGGCTCAAGTGGTAGAGCATTTGCTCTGAGCAGAAGAACAGCACACAGGCCCTAAGTTCAAGACCCACGACTGACCAAAAAAAAAAAAAGCATGATCTTCACTCCAAAGTCAAGTGCATTTTAGAATCTCAAACACTATTTCTCTCAATGGAAAAGTGAGACCTAGCTATTTTCTCTACCATCAGACACAATTCATTCCCTATGGTGCAGCCCCCACTCTACCCCTTCTGTCCTGTTTCAACTATCTACACTGGTTATCAGATAATTCAAGCAGTAAATAAATTTGAAGTAAGTAGAGGCCAGTGGTCCAGCCACTGGGGACTCACACCTGTAAACCTAGCTACTTAGGTTGAGACCTGAGGATCATGCAGTTTGAAGTGGTGGGGAGAGGAGGGGACGACTCTGAGGTTCTTATCTCCAGTTAGCAACCAAGAAGCCTTGAACAAAGGAAAAAACTAAGGGTCAGAACCCAGACTGTGAGTTCAAACCCCAATACTAGTACAAAAAAAAAAAAGTACTTAGGACTGTGAGGAATAAGCTATAAACCAAGGGGCTAAATTCAGACACAGACACATCCCAGAAGACCACAGTAAGCTAATTTTTTCTCTCTTTCCTTTCCTTTTTTCTTTAAGAAAGAACTGGCCTTGAACTTGTAATCCCCCTGCTTTTTCAATGATTAGGAGTATGGCACTGCACCCAACTCTTTTAGCCATTTGAGTTCCAGGTGAGGCTTGAGTCCCTAGAAATATAGCCTTAGAAAACAGCAAGGGCTGGGAAGGTGGCTCAGTGGTAGAGCGCTTGTCTTGCATGCATGAGGCCCTGGGTTTGATTCCTCAGCACCATATAAGCAAAAAGAAAAAAGCCGGAAGTGGTGTTGTGGCTCAAGTGGTAGAGTGCTAGCCTTGAGCTGAAGAGCTGAGGGACAGCGCCCAGGCCCAGAGTTCAGGCCACACGACCAGACCCCCCCCCAAAAAAAGAAAAGAAGAAAATAGTTCAAAATCTGTACTGTCCAAGAGTTCAAGTTGTGTCCCACATTAAGCTGCTGTTCTCTCCATACTACTTCTCACTGTTAAACAAGATTTCCTACTCAAAGCATCTAGCACACAACCCATGGACCACAAACACTGCACCTTCCTCACTGTTAAAGTATCATTAGATTCTCGAACCCACCAGCATCTTAGTAACAGGGACCAATGCAGTCTAGAGCCTGCCAGATGTGTTCTTACTGATCTGCAATGGTTCCACCCTTCCCTTCTGCTTCCCTCCCCCCTCCCCCATCTGTGGAGTAATAACTTGAAGATACCATAACACACACACACACACACACACACACACACAAACACACACACACACCACCATCTTATCCACCTATCAAATGCCCAGCAAACACCTTCAAGACTTTGTATTAAGCGAGCTCATCCAGATGAAATAGTGTCTAGCAGATAGCATCTTCTCTACACCTTCCAGTCTTTTCAGAACGCCCAGTAAGAGCTACACAGAGGACTCTAGAAGGCCTGAGGTGTCATGTGCTCTTCCTGGGTCATTCCTGTCACTTTCCATCACATGTGGAGGGAGAACTGTCCTTCCATACCTAAAGTGCTGCCCTGGGCAACCCCAACCGGCTGCTCTACTCATCCTCCCCTGCTTTTTGCCCTGAGAGCACACTTACAAAACTTCAGCCTGGGGGCTGGGAAGGTGGCTCAGTGGTAGAGCGCTTGCCTTGCATGCCTGAGGCCCTGGGTTCGATTCCCCAGCACCACATAAGCAAAAAGAAAAAAAAAAAAGCCAGAAGTGGCCCTGTGGCTCAAGTGGTAGAGTGCTAGCCTTGAGCTGAAGAGCTGAGGGACAGCACCCAGGCCCAGAGTTCAGGCCCCACGACCGAAAAAACTTCAGCCTGCTTTTAAAAGCCTCACCCGCCGGGCGCTGGTGGCTCATGCCTGTAATCCTAGCTACTCAGGAGGCTGAGATCTGAGGATCGCGGTTCAAAGCCAGCCCGGGCAGGAGAGACCGTGAGACTCCAATCTCCAATAAACCACCAGAAAACCGGAAGTGGCGCTGTAGCTCAAGTGGTAGAGCGTTCGCCTTGAGCTGAAGAGCTGAGGGACAGCGCCCAGGCCCAGAGTTCAAGCCCCACAGCCGACAAAAAAAAAAAAAAAAGCCTCACCCAAAACTGTCATGGAGAAGTGGTTCTCTGCTCAGGCTGGGGCCTACGCCTACCCCACCACCTCTAAAACTAGTTTTTGATCAGCATTAAATATTAAACATTTGTGATCAATCCAGAAAGTATATTAGCCCGTCTAAACTAGTCACTCTTGTTCAGCATCCCTTGATTAAACAAGGAGCTGGGCTCCTCAAAACCATTTAGTTCAAAGTTCACAAGCAAACATCTGGAGGCCCTGCAGGGAGGTGCCTGCACAAGGCCTTGATGCAGCAGGTGAATGGCCTAGGCTCACACAGTGCGGTGGCCAAAGCTTTTTTGACCAGGTGGGGCTCCTGCTCTCCCACCTAGGTGGCAGACCTTTGTAAAAGGTCCCAGAGTGGATGTTGTGGACAGGCTTGGATGGGGGTGGGGGCAGGAGAAACCATCTCAGGCTCGACTAGCGCCTTCCTTCATTACCAAAACAAACACCACGAGTGGAGCTAGCTCTCTGCCTTCCAGTTCACTCACCTGATCCGAACCACCTCCATAGTCGGCAGTTCCAACCTTTACCAGCTGACAGTTCAGGGGGAAAGGGAGGCTGCGCCTCCTTGGGTGCATCGTGTCCAGGCCATATATTGGGGCTCTGAGCCTGGTGGCAACCCCCCTCCCCAAGGCTGCGGCCTCACAAGAGCAATTGTGCGTTCATCCCGGTGACCCTCACTGCTCAGCTCGCAGGGCAGCTCGGAGGCGGCGGCCCAGGGAAGGGCCCTGTGCTGTTCCGGGCACGCGGATGCCCGCCCTCCCCTCCCTCCCTCTCTCCTGCTCGCTCCCGGGCGGCCTCCCCAGAAAGGGCAACTCTGGAGCCTGAGAAGGCACAGCGCCCCGACCACCCCCACCGCAGCGAGAGCCGCTCCCCTACTTCCCGGAGGACGCGCCCTAGGTACAGGGGAGGGGACACGAGTCGGGGTCAGGAGTGGCAACGGGATCTTGATGCAGGGGAGGGCAGGGCGGGGAGGGCAGGGCGGGCTGACGCAGACTAAGCTAAAAGTGTGACCAGTCCAGGGCCCCCGATCGTGGGGGGCCGAGGGCGGGAGGTGTAGGCGGGGGAAGGGGGGGCGGTGGAGAGGTTCAGACTTAGGACCACCGGAGGAAGGGAAGGCTGGGGGGAGGGGGGAACCGAACAAATCCAAACTGAGGCCGCAGAGGAGGAGTTGTCCGAGGTCCAGGCGAGGCCGCAGAGAGGGGAAGGGAGTTTGGAGAAATGGGGGCCTAGCCTGGGCCCTGATGGAAACGGCGGCCTAGCTGGGGCCGTGGAGACGAGGAAGGAGACCTAGCTGGGCCGCGAGGAGGAAGGCGGGGAGGGGCGGGGGGACTCCGCCCGGGTGGCGGTAGAGGGTGGCGGGGCCCGGCCCACGGGGCAGAGAGGGTCCAGGCTGGGTTCTGGGGGAGACTGGCCTGGACGCGGAAGGGGAGAGGGGGCTCCAGCCGGAGGCAGGGGCGGGGGCTGGAGGGAGGCAGGGTCAGCGCCCGTCCAGGCAGCCCGCGACCCCCTCCGGAACCCCAGGGGTGGCGTCCACCTAGGGTCTGGGACCCCGCCCCTCCCCCACCCCCCGGCGTTCGCCCCCTCCTCCCCGGGCCGGGGGTCGGCGGGGGAGGGGAACGCGAGCTCCGGCAGGGCCGCGGGGCCAGGGCCGCGGGGCCCTTACCATGGTGGCGGCGGCGGCGGCGGTCCCGGTCCCGGCGTCGGTGGCTCTCCCCCCCGCAGCAGGGCCCAGCGCTTCCACTTCCCCGGGTGCCCAGGAGTGAACATCCGGGTCAGCGCCCCCCTCCCCCCGCGCCGGGCCGCCGCCACCTTCCTTCTCCGCCCCGGCCGGGCCCGGCCCGCCCCCCACGCCGCCAGCTCCCGGCCAATGAGCGCGCGGGGCTGCGGCGATCGCCAAGTATGGAGCGCCGCGCGGGGGGCGGAGCTTCGCGTGGGGAAGCGGGGTGGAGCCTGCTCTGGGGGGCGGCCCCAGGGTTGGGGGCGGAGCCTGCGCGGGCGGGGCGGCGCTGGCTGGCGCCGCACGGGGCCGGGGTGGGGAGGGGAAGGGGTGGGCTGGGGGCGCAGGGCTTTGGAGGCCTCCGTCAGCTCCGACGTCCGGCGTGAGACCCCGTGGCTGCCGATCGCGGGGGACCACGGGCGAGGATGCGGAAGGCACGGGGGCTGGGAGGGGACTCGTCCTTCCGCGCCCCACCCCGGAGCACACGCCTGCAGCAGCGGACCGGAACTGGTGCGGACAGCGGCCTGGCGCGGCCCTGCCCGGCCCTGCGGGGACCCTGGCCCGGAGTCTCCGCGGGGCAGCTTGCTGAGGATGGGGACCTGGAGCTCTCCGGGGCCTCACACCCCGGCCTCGGGAATTCACGATTCCGTGGGTGGAGGACCTGCTGTTTACCAGGCCTTGTTTTAGGAACCAAATGGTGATGGGCTGAGACTTGGAGATCTCGGCCTTCCTGGCTACCTGTGACAGGCTATTGTGAGATGACCCAGGTTTAAAAAAAGAGAGAGGGGCTGGGAAGGTGGCTCAGTGGTAGAGCGCTTGCCTTGCATGCCTGAGGCCCTGGGTTCGACTCCTCAGCACCACATAAGCAAAAAGAAAAAAAAAAGCCAGAAGTGGCGCTGTGGCTCAAGTGGTAGAGCGCTAGCCTTGAGCTGAAGAGCTGAGGGACAGCTCAGGCCCAGAGTTCAGGCCCCACGATCGGACCCAAAAAAAAATAAAATAAAAATAAAAAAGAGAGATCACTAGGTTCAATAAATGCCACGCCTTTTGCATACTTTACATTCGATAGGGAATGGGTCCATTCTCCCAATGGGGTTTCTTTCCTCTCTCCCCACCGTGACTCAAAAATTTCCCCCTTCTCTATAATCCACACATAGGTGCTGAGCTTTCTCTAGAACCTCGATTGCAAGGCCTGTTGGTAATACCTATCTTCCTGGGCTGGCGCACCCTCTGCTTAGACTTTTTAAACAGGTCACCTGGGAGGTGTGGGGGGAAACCTGCATAAAAAAGAATTAGACCTCTGAGCTCTAGGTGAAGTGGAAGCTTGCACCTACAGCCACTGACAAAGCCTGCAGGCAATACTCTCAGGAACGGTAGAGACCAGTTTTACAGAAGTTCAGAAAGGGAGGGGCACTTAGGAAGTTGTTACTCAGTAAATATTTATTGTGCAGCTATGGGACCAAGCTCTGTATCAGAACTTGGTAAAGCCTAAGCAAAACAACCCGTACTGATGTGGAGCCTTGCATGCTAGGGAGATACTGTTTGTAGGTTGAAGGCTGTTAAGGAGACCATCTGCTCTAAAGTAAAGAGTGTAAAGATTAGACCCTGAGAGGGTTGGGCTGGGAAGGTGGCTCTGTGGTAGAGCACTTGCCTTGCATGCCTGAGGCCCTGGATTCGATTCCTCAGCACCACATAAGCAGAAAAAGCCGGAAGTGGTGCTGTGGCTCAAGTGGTAGAGGGCTAGCCTTGAGCTGAAGAGCTGAGGGACAGTGCCCAGGCCCAGAGTTCAGGCCCCATTCCCAGACCCAAGCCCCATGCCCAGACTCAAAAAAAAAAGAAAGAAAGAAACTGAGAGGGCTGAGCCTGTAGTCAGGCTAGCAAAGTGGGGCCATGTTTTGTAGTAAGGTCAAGGAAGCAATATTTGATCAGGCAACTGAAGGGAAGGTGGATAGCAGAGGCACACACACTGAGAACAGCAATGGCAGAAGGAAAGAGGCCTCTGGTGTCAGACCTTGGTGGTGTGCACAGATGTCCAAAGAGGCCAATATGGCCAGTCTAGGTTGAATAAGCAGAGAGTCAAGAACTGACTTGCAATGCATTTACTGTGACTCCGGCTCCAAAAGGATGGCTGGGTTGCTGTGTTCCAAGTGGACTGTAGGGGGCATAGGGCCTTAGAATAGAAAGTAGCCAGGTTACCGGGGCTCACACCTGTAATTCTAACTACTCAGGGGACTGAGATCTGAGGATCACTGTTGGAAGCTAGCCCAGTCAGCAAAAGTCTGAAATTCTTATCTCAGTTCAGCTGTGGCTCAAGTGATAGAGCCCCAACCTTGCACAACCAAAAAAACTATCACCAGCAGTACTGGAATTTGAACTCAGGGCCTTGCACTGACCAGGCAAGGGGCTATATATCACTTGAGCCATGCTTCCAGGACCTTTTTTGCTTTGATAATGTTCAAAGTAAAACCTCACTTTTATGTCTAGGCCAGCCCAACTTGTGATCCTCTTACTTGTGACTCCCTTGTTTCTGGGGTAACACTAACTTACCATTTCACCAAGCCACGGAGTAAGATGGAAGTCTCAAGAACATTTATGCCCAGGCTGACCCCAAACCTCTCCCTTCCAAGTAACTATTGTTACAGTCAACAGAGAACTACTACTTTTTTTTTAATGCAATTATTTAATGGTTACCATTTGGTTCATTCATCTAGACAAAATTGCATTCCTTCTAGTTCATTATATTGAACAAACATTCAAATTACTGGGGGGAAAAAAACATGGATAAAGTGCTTCATCTTCCTCCTTTTTTTCCCCCAAGTCCTGGGACTTGAACTCAGGGCCTAAGCACTGTCCCTGAGCTTCTTTTTACTCAAGGCTAGCACTCTACCACTTGAGCCACAGCTCCACTTCCACATTTCTGGTGGTAATTGGTGATGAGTCCCAGAGAGTTTCCTGCCCCACCTGGCTTTGAACCATGGTCCTCAGATCTCAGCTCCTGAGTAGCTAGGATTACAGACGTGAGCCACCAGTGCATGGCCCAAGGTGCTTCTTATATATGGATTCTGTTAAGTACTTTATAAATATCAGTTTATGAAATCCTTATCTCAGAGCCCCAAGGTCATGTAGCAAAAAGATGAAGGTGAATTAGGCCAGGGTAATAGTATGTATGGGATGGAGGCAAGAAGCAATTTTATTCCCCAACATATCTGTTTTTTGTTTGTTTTGTTTTGTTTTTTGGGGTCCAGTCCTGGGGCCTGAACTCTGGGCCTGGGCACTGTCCCTCAGCTCTTCAGCTCAAGGGTAGCACTCTACCACTTGAGCCATAGCACCACTTCTGGCTTTTTTATTTTCTGCTTATGTGGTGCTGAGGAATCAAACCCAGGGCCTCATGCATGCAAGGCAAGCGCTCTACCACTGAGCCAACTTCCCAGCCCCATATTTGTTTTTCTGATACATTAGTAGTAGCATGAGAAGTAGGAAGAGGTCCAGAACTAGAGTGAGGGTTTTAGCACTTTTTTTTTTGTACTGGTACTGGGACTTGAATTCAGGTCCTGGGTGCTGTCCTTTAGGTCTCCCCCACCCCCATTCAAGGCTAGCACTCTATCACTTGAGCCTCACCTCAACTTCTGGCTTTTTGGTGGTTTGGAGATAAAACACTCTCAGATTTGTCTGCCTAGGCTGGCTTTGAACCGTGATCCTCAGATCCTAGCCTCCTGAGTAGCTAGGATTAAAGGTGTAAACCATTGGCTCCCCAGTTAGTTTTAGTTTGATCAATCAAACCAGAGAGAAGTCCTTAGGGAAAGTGAAAGGATGAGTCCTTTGAGGGTTTGAGATCATTTTTGGAAACTTAAGTTGAGGTGTTAGCCAGGCGCTGGTGGCTCACGGCTATAATCCTAGCTACTCACAGAAGGCTGAGATCTGAGGATTGTGGTTCAAAGCCAGGCCTCACAGGAAAGTCTGTGAGACTTTTTTCTCCAATTAACCACCAGAAAACTGGAAGTGGCACTGTGGCTCAAGTGGGAGAGTGCTGGTTTTGAGCTAAAGAGCTCAGGGACAGTGCCCAGGCCTCCAGTTCAAGCCCTACAACTGAAAAATAAAAAAAAATGGGGATGTTAAGTAATTGAATGTGGAAGTCTGGAGTTGGGGAAAGAAGGTAGAGCTAGAGATAAACTAGGGAGAACCATAGCTAAAAATGGCTCACTTAGAGGAGCATGCTGAGAAAAGAGGCTGAAAGATCAGAACCAGCAAGGAGAGGGGATGGCACTTAGGGAAAGAAAATCAAGAGAAAAGCGGTTCCCCCTCCCCAAAACAGAGAGATAAATTTTCTGAAATAAATGACTTGAAGAAAATGCGATTGAAAGGAACCCAGGTATGTTAGGGCAAACATGTAATCCCAGTACTAGGGCAGCTGAGGCAGGAGGATCACAAGTTCAAAGCCAGTCTGGGTTATATAGTATAGTATGACCCTATTTAAAACACACACACAAAGCAGAACAGACAGAACAGGCTGGGCACTGGTGGCTCAGGCCTGTAATCCTAGCTACTCAGGGGGCTGAAATATGAGGATCACGGTTCAGAGCCAGCCAAGACAAGAAAGTCTATGTGACTCTTATCTCCAATTAACCACCAGAGAACTGGAAGCAACTCTATGGTTCAAAGTGGTAGAGTGCTAGCCTTGGCAAAAAGAGCTCAGGGACAGCACCTAGGCTCTGAGTTCAAGCCCCAGAATGGACCAAAAAAAAAAAAATACATTGAGGGGCTGGGAAGGTGGCTCAGTGGGAGAGAGCTTGCCTTGCATGCCTGAGGCCCTGGGTTCAATTCCTCAGCACCACATAAGCAAAAAGAAAAAAGCCGGAAGTGGCGCTGTGGCTCAAGTGGTAGAGCGCTAGCCTTGAGCTGAAGAGCTGAGGGACAGCGCCCAGGCCCCACAGTTCAGGCCCCTTGTCCGGACCCAAAAAACAAAAACAAAAAAATACATTGAAAGAAAGCCATATTCAAAGTATATTATTTGTAATTTCTCATTTAATTTCTCATTGCAACACTATGGAACATACTATTATTATTCCCATTTTATATA